ATTATCAAAATTCCAAACGAAAAGAGATGTTATATGATCTTATACTAACAATATCTATCATGCTTTATTAAGTTTGGGAACAAATAATAGCTGGTATAGATGCACTCAAGCAATCTGATTGTCGAGATAACATTTATGTGCACTGTGCTCAGTGTGTACATATGAATGGTGTATATATATATATATATATAGTGGTCTCATTATTTAGTCAGGATTTTTATTGATGGACTATAACATCTTGCTTTTTCTTTGGAATGTATATTTACTTACACTCGGTTGATTGGAGCAGTCAATTTCCATGGCTGCTAATGGTGTGATAATGATTTGTCAAATGTCTCTATCTTCGTAGCATAATATATGTCCTTTTCTTGTGGTCTTATGTTGTCCTTCATGCTTTAAGTTTTAATATATTTCTTCTCAGACTAAAAAATGGAACTAAGTAGCTTATATTATCTTTTGTATTGGAATACCGTTGTAGTTACATTGATTTCTTATTCAGTTGAAAAGTATTGGTTTCTTGCTTAAATTAATGTTATATTACCATTAATTTAAGATTTCTTTGATCTTTAGTTGTAATATTGTCTTTGTAAAATAGTGGGTCAGCATTGGGGAAAAATGAAGGGCAAAGACTTCCTTCTTAGAAGGGATAGTGTCCAACTTCAAACTCCTAATGGGAGGAGACAATCTGTGATTGCTAAAGCAGGACCAGTTTTTCTCAAACCAATTCCATCCACTGGGACGAAGGGAGGCGTTCTGTATTCTACTAGAAAGAACAACAACGCTTTCATATGTTTTGCTGCATTGGTAATTTGGTTCTTATTAATTTGTTTGTCTTTTAATGCTTCCTTATTTCAACTGTTCTCTGTTTACTTCAAAGCCCTGCTGGTAGTAATCGTTCTATATCAAAAACATTACTGTACAATCCTAAGCTTAGATGCCAAGGGAGAGTTTTAAAATTTTTCCGAATCCGAATTTTTAGCGGGGTGAATTACCTGAAGCGGATGTGATAGGTTTAATTAATACCTTGATTTGGGTCTCTATGGCTAATGTCTTTTGTAATATCAGTTATGTCTTATTCTTATGCCTTATTATTTTGGATTAGAGCCCCTTTTGTACTTCCTTGGGGACTGGTTTCTTTCATATGCCCATATAAACTTTCATATTTTCTCAATAAAAGCTTGGTTACTTGTAATAGAAAAAAATGTAGAAATGAGAAATAGTTGAAGCCACATTTTTTTTTTCATTTACCTAATCAATTAGTTTCTGGGTGGTGGATTTTCAAATGGATTTGAGTTTTTGTTAAATAATCAATAGCAAAGAACAAAATCAGGTTTTAAGCATAGTGAAAGACTTGAACATAATATTTGGAGGGGTTTATATGTGTGTGTATATATTTAATAACGCTGTCTCTTTGCAGAATGCTAGATGTGCAGCGGAGCAGACCCAGACTGTTACAAGAGAGGCTCCCACAATCACTGTTCTTCCCGGTAACAATCACTTGCAAATTTTATGAATAATAGTAACTTTAAACTTCAAACTTCCTAGCAGCAGCATATGCACATGTTATCGCCTTGCAACCTGAACATCACCGTCTGTTACTCCTTGCTAATAACATGCTTCACTATGTTCTTACCTATTCATCAGCATCGTCCTAGGTTATCATAACGTTGCTGTTGCTAAGCCTTATTTTTAGCCATACATTGTGTTACCTAAAACTAAAATTGCAGGCAAGGAGAAGTCACCGCAACTGGATGATGGCGATTCTGGATTTCCACCTCGTGATGATGGTGATGGCGGCGGTGGAGGTGGCGGTGGTGGAGGAAACTGGTCTGGTGGATTCTTCTTCTTTGGCTTCCTTGCTTTCCTAGGCTTTTTAAAAGATAAAGAAAGTGAAGGGGCATATGAGGATGATAGGAGAAGATAAATATATTTTGATGAAATTTATAAAATGTAGATTCAGATTTATACTTGGAGACAATCTCAAAATAAACATTTGTTTGTAGTAACGTAATCCCATTTGATTTCTTTCATCCACTTAAAATTCAGTAATCCCTATGGATTGGCGTAAGAACACACTAAGGCAATATATAGTGATCCTTACATGCCACCAAGTATGCTACCATTAAGCCATCGTACTAAAAAATTGAAAACTAAGTTTTTGCTGTGGAGTTCGATGGAAAGACATCTTATAGGGTTCAAATTCCGATGCATCCTATCATTGCCTAATCATCCATTCCCCAACTACATTGTTTGCAAGACTCTTCGCATTTAACCAATCTGGCAACCATATGCTTCGACCTGCATTGAACGCTGGGCCGCTTGTTGAAGATAAAAGTACATCGACCCGCATTGAACACTGGGCCGCTTGTTGAAGAAAAAGTATATCGAACCCATTGAATGCTATGCCGCTTGTTGAAGATAATTGAACACTGGGCCGCTTGTTGAAGAAAAAGTATATCGAACCCATTGAATGCTATGCCGCTTGTTGAAGATAAAAGTACATCGAACCCATATGCTTCTTGTTGAAGATAGAACCCATTGAATGCTATGCCGCTCGTTGAAGATTTCTTGTTGAAGATAGAACCCATTGAATGCTATGCCGCTTGTTGAAGATAAAAGTACATCGAACCCATACGCTTCTTGTTGAAGATAAAAGTACATTGAACGCTGGGTCGCTTGTTGAAGATAAAAGTACATCGAACCCATACGCTTCTTGTTGAAGATAAAAGTACATTGAACGCTGGGCCGCTTGTTGAAGATAAAAGTACATCGAACCCATTGAATGTTGGGCCGCTTGTTGTTGAAGATAAAAGTACATTGAACGCTGGGCCGCTTGTTGAAGATAAAAGTACATCGAACGCTGGGCCGCTTGTTGAAGATAAAAGTACATCGAACCCATTGAATGTTGGGCCGCTTGTTGAAGACAAAAGTACATCGAACCCATTGAATGTTGGGCCGCTTGTTGAAGACAAAAGTACATCGAATCCATATGCTTCTTGTTGAAGATAAAAGTACATCGGACCCATTGAACGCTGGGCCGCTTGTTGAAGATAAAAGTACATCGAACCCATATGCTTGTCGAAGATAAAAGTACATTGAACTCTGAACGTTGGACCGCTTGTTGAAGATAAAAGTACATCGAGCCCATTGAACTCTGAACGCTGAACCGCTTGTTGAAGATAAAAGTACATCGAACAAGTTTTAGAATAAATTTATTTTTACGAAGTTTTAGGACAAAAATGGATTCGATTAAGATTTGTTGGGCAAAAATGGATTCAATTAAGATTTGTTTCTTACCAAAAGCAAGCATGACATCATTATGAACATAAAGCCTACGGTTGAAAATGTTGGAGTGATTTTAATAAAAGTAAAATATTAGTTGGTGACTTATTTATTTATGTTTAAATATTTAACTAAAATTTACAATAGAGTGGGAATATGTAGTTCGAAAAATTACATTTCAAAGAGTGGTTAAAAATGATAAATAGTAACCCTTTGAACTATAACCGTTTGAGTGAGTGAGGTTAATTAGATTTTTTGAGTCTTTTGAACACCTCTAGTCCAAAAATAAAATGGTAAAAAAATAAACAAAAAAAATTATTTTTTTTCATAAATATTGACATTAACACTACATTTTTTTTTTTTACAACAAATCCTTAATTATCGATGGAAATTCTTGTTTTCATCCTCACAAAAATTAATGAAAAATTTTGTGAGAATGTAGAACGAAATAGGATATGAAGATGGAAAAGGGTCCTCAGTCCTCGTCCCGTACACATCTCTACGTTATCAAATTTAAGGTTGTACTTCTTCACTTTTCGCTTTTTACATCTAGTTTGGTTTTAGCATATGGAGATCACAATTCTCATGAGATTTTTCATATGCTCTTTATCCTCGGATACATGACGTTAACCTCCTCCACATCTCATCATTGTTTTTAAATGAGCCCCATTTCACTTTTTTTTTTGTGGGGTGTAACTTATCTAACTCTCCATTATCCCCCAAGTATAAGGCTCTAAGCCTAACTGCCTACATATTTCTCAACTTCAATTGGGTTGGGTTCGTTTGGATTATATATTTTACAATTCTATCTTAGCGAGAATGTGCGAGAATGTGTTAATGTAGTAGGAAAATTGTCGTGGATTTTAGGAGCTAGTTTCGGATGATAGGCATGCCTATATAGACTTAATATTTACAATAATTAAACCTTTTCTAACCAAAATGGAAAAATATAATAGGCAAGCACAAATGAACATACTCAATGGAAGCCATGACCTTACCGAATTTAGTTACTATGAAAATTCTCAATCTCAACTCCCACTAAAACTAGGGTCGAGATCTAAACCAAAAAATTTAAAAATGACGAATTTGCCAAATTCTTGCTTACTATTCGTTTCTTTAAAACCGATGAATCTCAACTAGGTTTCATCAATACCAAATGCAAACTTCTCAACATAAAAAATGACTTCGACACGATTCACTGGAGGAGTAGAAAACAAAAGGAAAATAGAACTTTTGAGGAAGGAAGGTGAGAAATTTGAATTTTGCACAAATGTCTTTTCACATTTCATGGGGTAAAAAAAGAGCCCATTTTCCCAAAAGGAAAGCAAAATGAACAATTTTTTCCCCCCATAGATGAAAGGTGGAAAAGGGAGAATACATAAGCATCCAAGAGGAGCCTTTGGATCCCAAGAGCGGGCAATAGGGCAATAGCATGAGCATTCACTTTCAAGGACTCGCCCAAACGCCCTCTCTTGGGATCCAAAATGATCTTCAATAAATCCCTGCACCCACAACAATTCTTTATTTTACAAGGAATTTAGAGAAGTCCTGGGAAGGGAAGAACCCACCTTTGAAGATCGAAGCTGATTCCCTTGGCGTCATCAAGCTTCCTCAATGGAGCATTTTGGTGCCTGTTTGAACATAACTTATCCAAAAACACCGAGTATTTATGCCCCCATCCATATTGACATAAACAGGACACACTCAGTTAGTACCAATTACGATCAATCAACAACTGGAAATTGAAAGGCGACAAATATCACATCACATCAATATCACTATTAATATTGAATTTGAAAGAAGAAAACAAATGATGACTGCTGATGAAACATTGAATACTTTCTAGATGAGGGATTAGCTTCATCAGCCTATATGCTCAAACTCAGCCAAGAATGCAAACAAAAGCAACCAGAGTTCTGCTTGTCTAGTGCTTAAAACACAAAAGTTCAGTCACTGAAGAAACTAGACCGAAAATGACCAAAGGAGCAACCCATGCGAAGTGAAAATTCAATATTAGCCCCTCCTCTGAGAAGTGGCCAACAGCATTTACAGTTGGGCAAACCATGATCCAATAAGATCACGAACACGATCACAGTCACAACTTCAGGTATCGTCGACTTGTGAATGGAAGACAAAGCTTGGGAAAGTTGTGGTGATGTCCCTGCCCAGAAACAACGCCCAGCTTATATAACACATAGCAAGTGCCAATAAGTTCAGTTATAGTTCACTTTATGAGACCGTGTCTTTTTACGACAAAACAGGATATGTGACAGAGTTCTCTTTCGTTATTCCCAACGACGTTACACAAAAACAAACAAGCACTGACTTAAGGTATATGATTATGATTTTCCAATGTTTCAGTTCAGCAAAAATGGACTTACTTGAGATATTGAAGGGTCATGTTCTTTAAGAGAGATGGATGTCGCGAAACAAGGTTTCTCCACTCTTCCTTGTCAATCTTTCCGTCATGTTTTGTATCAGCTTCCTCAAAGGTCTAAAACATACTCCAAGGTTTAGAAGTATTAATAAAATTAAAATTTTCTATGCATACAATACAAAAGCACATAAATAATCTAGAATAAGACCTCTAAGTAAATTCATCAGACTTTTGAGAGCTAAACGGATAGAGGAGTACCTTATCAATTATACTCTCAATAACATCGTCCGAAAGATTCATACCAGATTCTGCAAGGGTAGCCACAACCATTTGCTTCACCTAAGGACAACAAAAAAACCAACTCTGTAGTAGGAAAGTTGGGATAAAAAACCGGAAACCTACATCACTAGGAAGAAAGTATTACCTCTTGTCTCTCAATAAAACCTTGCTGCTTAAGATCGTACAATTGAAAAGAAACTGAAAACATGGCATTATAAGGTAAAGGCAAAAGGATATAGTTAGACATAAGGGTTCCAATCATAGTATAAACGTCTTAACAACCAGCATGACAACTGTTCCAGATATTTTATCATTTTACTATACATAACGTACATTCAACTTTATCATCAATTGGGGCATTCGGATGAAATACAGATAACGCACGAGCAAATTCTTCGAAGCCTAATATTCCATTGTGTTTTGTATCAAATAAGTCAAACACCTACAATAAAAGCAAAAAAGTATAAGAAGTTTATACAAGAGATATTGGTAAAAAAATGAGTTAATAGATCTAGTCCATGCAACAGAAAAGGCAATGTCAAAAAGTACCCTGTCTGCAAATAAGCTCTCTTTTTTATTCGTCTTGAACAATGCAAGTTGAAACTCCTCCTACAGCATAACAGTACAACAAACAACTTCAAGAAAGAACCAACGAAAATCAGCAAATACAAACGTACAAGGATTAATACATTGTATGAAGAAAGGATGTCAGGTCCAAAATATGGTAAAAGTTTTGCATAAGCTACAAATCTTAATATCCCTAACCAATGGCAGAAAAGGATGCATATATACCTTATTGATCAGGCCATCATCAATCACGGCACTGCTTATCTTCTTGAAGAGTTCATATAGTGCCTCTATTTCACTTACACTGACTGCATGTTGTAGAAAACTAGCATCATTTAATAAAATTTACGGTTTTTGTTTCTGAGAAGATAACAGATGACTAGAGTTGTATCACACTTCATTATGGTAGCCCAATTCATTATGGTCACCAACTTCCAATTTTAGTTTTAGGTTCACTGGACATCAAGTAGATGTGACAATATGAATTGTGTGCATTTCAGAGGTATAAATAGACAATGGAAGGAATGAAAATTAAAAACATACACACAGTCTCCCTCGCAAGAAGTTCAGGATCGTCGAGACCTCTTGATTGCTTATACAATTCAAGATCACAACATCTTACTAGGGAAGCAAAAAATCCCCCTATGCACTGCAACATGATATCGCTTGATAATCAAAACACTCCATGCCTGATTAATAGAAGTTGTATATAAGAGTTTCTTCTCAGTGATATCAGAAAATGAATAGAAAAAAATGCATGGAAAGAGAGTATGAACCTTTTAACCATTCTCTGCTTCTAATGACTCACTCAAATGCCAAAACTTCACATAACAACAGGAAACCTATTCTGGTTAAGAATATTTTGAGTACATTAGGAATTAATAGAACAAACGGTAACAAGTGAAGTACAAAAATATTTTCTGGAGAAGGAATAGATGGCTCAAGGAGCTTTTCAATGTTACATAACAGCAAGAACAGATAATAATAAGTCAATAACTAACAAAATAAAAACTAGCATCAACTGGATGCTTAACGACTTCCCAACCCAAACTTCCTCCTTGACTATCCCTGCATTAACATCTTCTTTTTTCTTTTATTTTAATGTCACAATAATTTGATTATCCTTGCATAAACTTATTGGAGAAGCTTTTTGTAATCTCTTAAGATGGGTTTACTCCCTTTTGAATCATTTCATTTAATCAATGAAATTGTTTCTTATCCAAAAAAAAAAATCCTTGCATCCAAAAGGCGTTTTCGAGGTGGATGCATCAAGCTAGTGCTTTTCAAGGTGGCTCTATCAAGTAAGATGATCATGTCTAGGCGCTTCATGAGTTTCATATTATTTAATACAAAAGTACTTATAAATTCTCCATTTCCAACTTATATCAAGTATTAGCCAGTAACAGAGAAGCATAGACATGGCATGGGACACAAACAAGGCACAATCACAATGACATGTCATTGTCTAATGAACTAGGACATGGAAACAGCCATGACACATTTACAACAATATCTTTTAGAATATGCCAGACAATATTAAAAAACTTTTCACAGCTTATAAAAAAAATTATGTCAATAATGCTTATGCACTTATATGCTTTTATAATTTCTCTTACTTTTTATGTCCCTTAATATTATTTCTATTTTCTAGATTAACACTTCAGTTCAAGTGTTCAGAAATTATCTGCCATTCACTGTCGAGTGTCAACCAACAGTCATCTAACACATCCATATTCGAGTATTTGACAAATGTCTATTGTGCTTAACAAGTACAAGTATCAATAGTTTCAGTACATATCAAACATGAGGACGGTACCCAAACTAACGTATACATGCTCCATACAGCTTGAAATGTAGCTAAACAAATAGGCTAATCAACCAGTTTAAATAGGCACAACAAGTAAGCTTTAAGAACTAAACAAAACTCAGTAAATAGTTAGTAAGATACCTGTTAGTCCTTATATAAAATTAGTTTTAAAAAAGAAATCTAAATGGAGAAATAAAGGGAGATCGTAAGTTCAAATTTCCCCGTGGATAAGATAAAACTGAAATAGTCATAAAAGAACAAACTACAAGAGAGTATTTGGAGAAAAAAAGTGAGAAAAAAAAGGAAGAAATAATACATAATGCGCAAATTCGATTGGTGTTTAGCTACATAAGAATTCTGTAAAGATGCAACACTTATAATCGGGGAAGCAAGCTGCATATTCCAAAAAGAGCTTCCAAGCATTCAACTGGCAAAGAAAATATTCACAACATGCTATAAACATACATGTATAATACACATAAGTGTCCCTGTCCTAGAATCCCGAAAAGGAGATCCGTTGTGTTTTTAGGTAAACTGATGAGAAACCAATTTATAATCTTCAATGAAATGCGAAAATACCATAGTTAAACTATGTCTAATCTCCTGAACAAATCCAATATAAGCAAAAAATCTATTTGCTACATCTAGACCAGAACTAGATTATAGTCATTAGACAATGATGATGGGAGTTACAGAATTATGGTGATGCATTTCTTGCACAATCTTTCTACCACATAATCATTAAAAAATAAAAAACGTTGTTTCCAGATCAGAACATTCTCTGAAGAACATATCAATTCGGAAAAAAAGAGTGATACCAACTCTACTTTCACACATCCAAGTTTTTTGGGAACGCGGAAAACCTTCCAAAGGCACTCTAATCTTCACAAGCATTGCCACGACCAATTAGAGAGCTGAATTCGAATATAACAAAAGAAAAATAGCCACCGAAATTTCCAACCAATGGGATAGAACCCATAGAAAATTACCATAACAACTTCCTAAAGAAAAAGAGTCACAACCGCCATCACAAAATCCCTCCCAACCACAGATCTCTAAATCGGAAACAGATCCAGTCGCGCAATTAATCGTTATAGGTCCCACCAAACAACAGATTTCACATTCCAAACATTCGATTACACAAACATAAAATCCGGAAACGATCTGGTGAAGATAAAACGCAATTCAATTGAAACTGGTGAAGCTTCCACACAGCAACAAAATCCAGTAATCATATTGTGTTGCAAATTTATGCATAAAAACAAAGAAATTAAAATCAACCGTAGTATACCGTATAAGGAGAGGGGACGACGATGGAAGCGAGGTTGTTCCGGTGAGGTGATGCGGTGGCTGTCGACGATTTAGAGCGAAGGTGACAAATCCAGAGAGAGAGAGAGAGAGAGAGGTGATGCGGTGGCTGTCGACGATTTAGAGCGAAGGTGACAAATCCAGAGAGAGAGAGAGAGAGAGAGACGAGCAGAGAGATGAAGAAACGTTCTTATAGCCAAAAGATACGAACGGAAAACCAAACCAAAAACAATAATTTGGTTTTTATTTATTATTTTTTTTTTCTCGAAGAANGGTGATGCGGTGGCTGTCGACGATTTAGAGCGAAGGTGACAAATCCAGAGAGAGAGAGAGAGAGAGACGAGCAGAGAGATGAAGAAACGTTCTTATAGCCAAAAGATACGAACGGAAAACCAAACCAAAAACAATAATTTGGTTTTTATTTATTATTTTTTTTTTCTCGAAGATACGAACGGAAAACCAAACCAAAAACAATAATTTGGTTTTTATTTATTATTTTTTTTTTCTCGAAGAAATAAATAAATAAAAAAAAACATAAATATTATGATGTTTTGTAGCGTGGCGATGAGATGGGAAGGGTAAGCCCATAACCTTGGAGTTGGGATGATAAGACCCACACAAAACGACATCGTTTTCATTGGGTTCTATTTGTTCCTTTTTTTTTCTTTCTATATAGTAATTTTTCAAATAAAGTTTTAATAAATAAAAACTAATTTGTGAAATATGTAAATTTTAAAATATAATTTTGTCATATAGTTTTTAAAATTCAGGTGATTTCGTCACGTTTTTTTAATTATTCCTCTGAAAATTTATCAAAACGATCCATAATTTGATCAATTCAGGCTACCTAACTAAAATCGTAAAAATTTTGTTGAGTTATTATTATTTTTTTTTCTATTTGGATGAATTTTTAAAAAAAAAATAAAAAATTCAGTGTTTTCTTGAATTTTAAAAAGTTTTATCCGTATCTTTCAATTTTTTTTTTAAAAATATCAAAAATACTTTTACCTAAGAACCATATTTAAAAAATACTCATAAAATTAAAAAAAAAATTACTGATGCTATTTTTTAAATATTTTTAAAAAATTTAGGGTATTTTTAAAATTTTATATGTGGAAAAGAAAAATTAATAAAATAGAGGATAAATTGTTAAAGGCATTATTTGGGTAGTGAAAAAATGGTTAGGAATTATCATTCAATGTTTTTATCTCTTAATGTATGAAAAAAAAAATGATAGTAGCTAGGGATAATAATGGTGAAAATTATTTTATTTATATATTATTTTGAAGAAATAATTAATGCTACGAATATGACGGTCAAATCATTTATTATATGTATTACTCACGGAATCGAGCCGAAGATTTAAACGTCTTGATATAAATTTAAAGTTCGTAGAATGGCTTAGATCGTTGAATTTTATGTTGACAATCTTACCTAACTCAAGTAGGTATTAAACAGCAAAATAATACGTGAAATTGATTAATCTAATTGAAAGGAGAAAACCAGTAAAAAAGAAAAAAAAGTAAGAATTTAGAATTAAAGTTGGACGAAGTATTTGAGATTTTTTAGTATTAGTATCAACACGAGTTATTGATTTCAACAAATACAACGAGCTTGAGTCGTGAACCTGTTCTTAAGATTATGGATAGAAGTACTTAGTAGAGTTGAGGTGGACTAAAACACGGCACACATAAGTTATTAGACCAAGATTTTACATGCCGTAATGTTTTTCAGTCTGCGCACATGTATTTTTTTAGAAACAAAAAACGATTGAAGGAGGGTAATGTTTCAAACATTTTCTTGTTATGTATTGTTTTCGGACTCACTAGTGCTCACATTTGGTTTTTATAAGCGAGATGTTCGAGGAATTTTCTACGCAGGTTTATAGTGGTGTGTATATTGATCATAGGAGGTTAATGAAAGATTAATAAAGCCATTTTAAATAATTTGACGGTTTTTATGTAGCATGTTCTATAACAAAATCTCTGTGTGTGAATATTAAATGAAAAAAAGTTCTTTGAGCTGGTAACCCTTTTAAGGAAGTATAATAACGACCGGCTTTTCGAGGAACTCAAGCCACATATCGTTCTCATGGAAGTGGGAATAAGTAAAAATGCGTAAGATTTAAAATTTTTAAACGTGCATGCACATAAAGAAAATTTAGATTTAATACGACATTGTTTTGAAATATAGCACAAACTGACGACCCACATGACATACACACAAAAGAACATGACACACGTAATTCGTAAAATCCAGAAATACAAAGACATAAAGGGTTAATAAAGGAAACATATTAATGGGGTATACGACATCGATCTAGCCCAAAACTCCATAGCCCCTAGCTCGTGTGCGCCTCATTATGTCCACTACATCATGTCTAATTTGAAAGAAAGTCAAGGTAGCAGAGGCGAATATATAAAATATACTCGGTAACTAGCTTGCTGGTAGTTCATAGTTCCTTATCAATTTTTATTTATTCTAGTTAGCTTCTTTCGTATCTTATTCTCATTTGGGGATTTGTTCCCCAATATAGGTGCCTCTTAAGCTACACCCTAGGTTACTCATTCTATTTCTTGGTTCTTGGTCCTATCTGGACCTCCGGGGCTCAAAATATTTTAAGCTCTATGAGTCTCTTGGTTAGTCATTTTTGCTAGTCTCTCGTCGTCATCATCATAATATCTCTAAGTCTTCGAGTCGCGTCCTTAGTACTCAATGTTCATGCATTCTAGGATTTGACCAATTCTCAAGTATACTAATGTAGGTCCTCGCCACCATGACAAGTTCACTTAAAGGAACTAACGACCAAACTTCTCAAAAATAAAATAGACCAATTTTATAGTTATTCGGACCCTTGACAACCGAATCAGGTTTACGATTAGAGTTTAGTTGGCGAACCCCTAATCGTCTCTGTATAACCACTAATTCATATGCATGAACAATAAATCAAGAGTCGTAAGATCGACCAACTCTAATGTACCACTGTGGACCCTTGCCACTCATGACATGTTCACTAATAGGAAATTAACTAGCAAACTTCTTATAATTCCCCCACGAGTACCATCAACAATAAAGTAGGGTAGTTCATAAAATAGGCTAGTTCTTCATACCCCTGACACTGAGTCAGGTTTACGCCTATGGGTTAGTTGGTGAATCCCTAATTGTCCCCGTATAACCACTAACATCCCCAATCTATGTAATAGAGACATAACATAGTGATCTAAACATGAAAACCTAGTTATAATTTTTAATTCATAATACAATGCGTACACATTTAGTAAACACGCATAATAATAGTCAACAGGTATCATCCTATGCTCAAACCTTTAATGCTTTATATCATACTAAAGTCATGCGTGCATCATAACGTTTAACCTACTCTTACATACGTCAAACCAACTCATTTCATACTCAAGTTTCTTTGACATGCTTATTATATCACACTCTCATGCATACTATGAGCGTAGCTGAATCCAAAGTTTCAAGGTGCCACTTACCTGGAAAGCATCTTCTTATATCATACTTTTATGTATACTGCGAGCATAGCTAAATCTAAAATTCCAATGTGTCATTTAATGGGTAGAACTAACCCCTGCTTGATTCTCCCTCTTTCAACAACTAAAATCGGGTCAACCCAGGAAGGATAGAGGCGAATCTAGCTGTAGAAGCTCTCAAAACCCATGAACGCACCTTGGCGTTCTCCCTCCATTCGACTTCCCGCGTCGGTTTGTTTTCGTTCAAAATCGACTGTCAAACGCCCCTGGATCTAGAACTCCAATTCTCTTATAGGGAGCATGGGTTCCAATTCTCTTATAGGGAGCATGGGTTTTGGTCTCCAACCTCCGGTGCTTCTCCCTTAGACAAATTCGAATCCCTTGTTCCTTTTCCTCAACCGGCAAGCTGCCTATAATCAACTCTCACCCGCTTCTATTCTCGCGTGGTCTCGATGAGGGATTGGACGGAGGTCTTTGGACGGAGGTCTTTCGTCGCCTGCCCTCTGTACATGCTGCCGATGAGCAGAGTGTACAACACTGCTAACGCGCCTGTCATTTCCCTCTTTCCTTTTTGTTTTTTTTTTTGTTTTTTAAATTTATTTACTCATTCGTATTTACAAAGTCAATCCAAATCCATATATAAATATAAATTTGTGAGTTCTAATATAAGATTACAAACAGAGCTTTCAAAAGTTCAAAGTTATTATCGTATAATAGTCCATGACTCGAAGAGAGTCATTGTTACTGTGCTGCAGTGCTACGATCCATGACTCGGAAGAGTCATTGTTACTGCGCTACAGTGCTACCGTCCATGACTCGGAAGAGTCATTGTTACTGTGCTACAGTGCTACGGTCCATGACTCAGAAGAGTCACTGTTACTGTACTACGGTCCATGACACAAAGAAACAGAATCGCACGACTCAAAGAACAGAGTCATTACAATATTAATTGTAACAAAACAAAAAAGGACTTGTTATCACACGGAAGAGATAGTACGGCATATAATTAAACCTAACTAATACGAACAGTTCAATTTCTCACATTTCTAAGTTTGGTCATTAGTCCTAATAGTTTCCACTTTGTGGGATGATCGATTTATGTGTCAAAGTGCATCCACATTTCATAAACAACAGCAGAAACACAATCCATGCCGTGCTTGTGTGCATACATATATGCATGTATCTATCTCTATATATATATACTACTTTTCATTTGATTACTGAAAATACACATCACGTAAAGGAGAATTAGGAAAGTGCTTTCTTCAACTCTCATGTCTATAAAGGAATTCTCAAACAGAAGAGTCTGAATCAGTAAACATCTTTCGAGAACAAGAACACTATGATATCCATTAGAATTACCACAAAACTTGGGGGAAAACGAAGTTAAAAGTAATCAGAAAAAACAAAGACAAGAAAAAAGACAGTCACCTAAGAACGTAGTGAAGTGAGAACAACCTTTAAAGAAGATGCTTACTAGTTTGTTTCAAGTTCAAATTAATCAACTTCCTCCATCTTGCTACCCTCCTCAGCATCTGCCTCAGCATCTTCTAGAGGAGGCATCTCGGAATCCGCCTCACCCTCTTCCTCGTCGATGCTTAATC